AGTTGTGAGAGTCAAATAAGATAATGTTTGTGAATGTAATTTTTAAAGTATAAGGATTTATAGAAGTACAAGTTATTATTGTTGTTCTTCCTTTATCAGAGTGACTTGTGGAAATTTACATGCTAGCTTGGAGTTTTTTAGGCATCATGAGAGAAAGGAGCAGTTCCAACATTGGTTTGATGTGTGGTATTCAGCTATTATTTTGTATGAAGAAGAATTGCTAATCTAATAAGAAAATATGAATAAAGAAATTGGGAAAAATATTTCATGGGACCAATTAACCTATGCAAACATTTTTTGGAAATTATGAAAACATACACATTTAATTGTTTTTTGCTGTTAAGAGAAATGAGTGGTACCCTAGGAGTCAAGTCATGTAGAACTATTCCAGTTCTAACATAAACAACCTTCTTGTCCATTGGTGAGTCATTTCTCCTCTCTATGGCTCAATTTCCTGGTCTGTAACCTGAGGGGTTTTGACAGAGTATATCTAAGGCCTTTACTAGATATTTTTGAAAATGGGATTTTCTTACTTTAATGCATAAAACATTTAGTCTGCATATATTTTGACAAAAGAATAAAATAGTTTCCTATGACTGATGTCCAAGGGTGGCACCTTAGCAGTAAAGTTAGTGTCCTTGTGTAACACCATCATCTAACAGATGACTAAGGCCTTTTGTTGAAAGATTTGGCTGGTGATGTCTATGTACCTTTGTAGATTCTTGAACCTGCACTTATTGTGAGAAAGTGGCATCTAACTTCCTTCCTCATGCCCTCTTCTGTGGACAGATGAGGCATTCACTTGCCAGCTGCAGTTTTCTCCCTTATAATCAGTCAGTGCCTCTTATCTGAGCAGTGATGTTCCACAGTCCACGGGGTTGAGGATTTTGTGATGTGTTAATGCTTCTGCTGGGGCTTCACTGGACAGAATTAGGCTAATATAGGTGGCTAAATTAAAAGGCAAATAGATGGATTGATAATTTTATCTTATGAAAAAGATAAAACAAGGAGTTTTCCTTTTCAAAAATACAGGAAAATCTTACTAGGTTTCATTACAATGCCCATGAAACTTCTATAGATGTTTAAATTTAAATCCTAAGTCCCTTTTTTTGGATAATACTATTCTTTAGAAATGATTTTGGCTTAACTATTGCTGTATTTATATATTTACCTCAAAAATTTCAAAACTACTGCCAACTTGTCTACCAAAAGTTTGAACTGGTTTCACCCAAAGTGAATATACTTGTGGCCTGCCATCGCTGAATATGTATTATTAACCTTTGAAATTCTGGCATGTGATAGGTGAAAAAATAGTATAGTATCTTGTTTTAATTGTACTCTCTTGATAATTAGAGATTCGGTGATATTTTTCATATGTTTATTACCCACTTTTACTTCTTTTGTTTAAATTACTTATTACCTTTGCCCCTTTCTCTATTGGGGCTGTTGCAACAAATGCACTTTATATTGTGCATTTAGTGTCTAGAACTATTATAAATACTAAGGACGCATCATTGAATAAATCCTAAAAATGTGTTTTCATGGAGCTTTCATTCTAGGTGGAAGAAAAAAACAATAAAAACTATCAGGTATATGTACTAAGATAAATTCAAAGGAATGATCAGGATTTACTGGAAGATTACTTTAAGGTCACTGATCATGAAATGCTTTTGAGAGAGGTGATATTTATATTGAGACAAGAGTGACAAGAACATTTGTAGAAAAGCATCTTTCGAAGTGATGAAAACAGCTAAGGAGAAGCATGAGTGAGTCTAGGGTATTTTAGGAAGAAAGAAGGCCATGGGGCTTGAAGAGAAATGGGCAGCGGTGGGGCTTGAGAAAGATGGAAGGCTCAGCCTGTGTGCAGCCTGGTAGTCTAGGGAAAGGTGTTTTGGTATAATTCCAAGTATGCTGGGAAGAGATTGAAGCTTTCTGCAGAGGAGTAGTATAATCTGATTCATAGCTTAACAGATACTCTGCTACATGTGGAATGAATCACTGGGAACAAGAGTGGAAGTGGGACAACCAATCAGGGGACTAGGGCAGTTGTCTAAGCAAGAACTGAGAGTTACTTGGGGGTAGAGGATGCTATTGGTGGCCTGCCCAGATTCCCTCTACCTGCCTGATGCACCCGTCTCCCAGCTACTGTGAAAGTAGGCTTTTATAAATCCCAGCTTCCTGGGAGGCTACACCTCCCTTCCCCTCTCAGGGACCATACCAGATGACTGATGGACAAGGGTTCCTCTTGCCTAAAGGCAAGGCTAACTCTGTAGTACAATTTGTGCTCTAGTATTTCCTTGTGGAATCAGACTTAAGCTAATCAATAGCTAGCATTCCTGCTTAGCATTTTCCTCCTGTCCTTCACTGATTTTCTTGGTCCTCTTCTTCATCTTAGCTCTGTTTAGGGAACCTGACCTAAGACACTTAGTTTGGGGTGGCAGAGGTTGAAATATCAGAAAAAGACTGGGTTAGGAACATTTTAGAGATAGAATCTACAGGAATGGATCTGTAATATGACAGAGAGAAAGCAAAACAGTTCCTAAATTTTGTTATTAAGTAACCTGGTGGGTGATGGCACTATTTACTAATAGGAGATGTCTGGAAGGAGCAGGTTTGGGAGAGGGAAAAATTCTATTTCAGATATATTAAGTTAGAGATGTTTGTTAGTGGGTACATCAGGGAGACAACTGAATATACTACTCTTTTGCTGCAAAGGGAAGTTCAGTCTGAAGATGTATATTTGGGACTCAACCATGATATGCAAATGGTGTTTGGAGGAATGTGACTGAATGAAGATATAGTCAGTGTAGATAAAGAAGAGGGTTTCCTAGGACTGGTCCAGGCATGAAAATATTTAGAGGTGGAGCAGAAAAGGAAAACCTAGCAATCATATTGAGAAGTAGTCAGTTAATTGAAACCATGAGAGGGTTTGTGGATAAAATGAAGGTTCCTGTGGCCAGGATTCTCACCTGGCCCTGGTTGGCTAGCTCACTACACATGTGTGGGCAATATGTTGCTTTTGACTCTATATAAAGAGCCCCACCCAGTGCCGACACGGTGGCAGGGCTGCAAGGCTGCAGGAGAGCAGAGGCTGGAGTGGTGGCAGCCCTAAAGACAGAGGTCCAGAGGCAGAGACCAGCTTGATGCATGTAGACTCGCTCTGAGTGAACGAGATTTTAGTGACTGACCTGCCACTGTGGAAATAAAGTTGGGTATAACCCTTTTACCCCAAGTATGTTCTACTGTCATTTCTTTGGTCACATTGAATCCATAGTGAACTTGGGGGCTGAAACCCATTGGCACGACAGGGTTATGTCACAAAAACCAGAAGGATAGTATTTCAAGGAGGATGTGCTTAACTGTGTAATGCCATTGAGTGGCTCATGAAAACAAAGACAGGGAAAAGAACATGAAATATGGCAATGAGGAAATTATCAATGACCTTGACAAGAGAAGAGTTTGGCAAGAAGATTCTGTGGTGATGGAATGAATGGTAAAGGAGAGAATGGGAGATGATGAAACAAATGCATTGACCTAGCAACTAGTATCTGTGAACAGGAGTAGAGAATGAGGTAGTAATTCAAGTGAGAAGAAGAGTCCCATTAGGGAACAATTACAGGCAGAGGAGTAAGGATGAAATAATCATGTTAGGGACTAGAAAAATCTAGTTGCAGGGGAGATGTAGTATAATTTCCTTGCAGTATTGAGAACCCCTTTGGCATAAGTGCTCATGAATTTTTAGTAAAGCCAGTTCATCAAGATTGTGAGTTTTTTCCAGCTGTATTTAGGTGCTCAGGTGTATACATTGAATAAGAGAATTTTGGGGTTAAACTACCATTAGAATTTTGTCAAGAAAACACAGAATTAAAGAAGTTGCAAGTGGGAGATTATGATCATAGGGTATGAGATCTCAGCTGGGCTCAGAGGCAAATGAGAAGGTGGATGGAAAGAAAAATAAGCAGGTGAATGGATTTGAGGTTTTTATGAGGTTGAAGAAATACTGGAGTAAGAGTAGTAAAATATATATGCTTGAAAGATAAGAGGGGATAAACAGAGACTAGGATGTTTGACAGCCACATTCTAATACATTCAGTATTAGAAACATTTATGATAACAAGGTGAAAAGTATGATCGTGGAAGTTGGTGGGTTACAGGAAATATCATGGGATTGAGGGGGTTGAGAAACTGGGGGGACATGGTATTGGATTATCTCCATGGGTTTCAAATTCCCCAAACTCAGGGAAAGTAGTAGAGGTATAGACGACACTAAGGTGGGGACAAAAGTCATCAGTGAAATAGACAGGGAACTGGAATTAAGTGCTATTTGTTTTATTTCATTGATTTCTATGAGCTATTAGTTTATTAAGAGTATGTTTTATTACAAGAATGATGTTAAAATAAAAATCCAAACATAAGGCCAAATCTCCCATAATGCTTTCACTTCACCAGAGGACAGTGGATTTTGACAAGGCCATGTAACTAGTTCTCATCTGCTTATTCAGGTCTGGCCAGGTGTTCCACTTGATTTGCTTACTCTCTTCTCATGGGAATGATGCAGGGCTTGCTGTCCCCACGAGGGTCTGCCTCTTAACCCTGCAGCCAGCTGCAGCAAGCCCTCAGATGAACAGGCTTTCTTGGTGTGCTGCCTGACCTTCTACCCAGTGTGCTGATCCCTCCCACATTGCTGAAATCTGGGACAACCATTGTTAATCATGGTCTTAAAATAGGGCAGCAGTCCTTCAGTTCTCAAAACTTGTTTCCCTGCGGACAGCCTAGCTAGATAAGTTTCTCGTTATTTTCACAGAGTTGATCATTTGATTCTATTGGATTACTCTCTTTAATCCGTACAGATCTTCCTTCAGCCCTAGTTATATTTTCTAATTATTTGGCAGGTCTGTTCTCTCCATACCCTGTGACGAATAACAAATCTTTATTCCAGCTTGTAAGTACTGCTGCCATGAGGTTGGTTGTCTGAACTTCTGCTGATTGTTTCTGAACAGGGAACTACGGGGAGAGCGGAATGGATGCTTTCAAAGAGCTGGCTGCCCAGGAAGGCCTCTGCATCGCTCATTCAGACAAAATCTACAGCAATGCTGGGGAGAAGAGTTTTGACCGCCTCCTGCGCAAGCTCCGAGAGAGGCTTCCCAAGGCCCGAGTGGTGGTCTGCTTCTGCGAAGGCATGACGGTCCGAGGCCTCCTGAGCGCCATGCGGCGCCTGGGCGTGCTGGGCGAATTCTCCCTCATTGGAAGGTAAATCTCAGTCTTTCCCCTAGCCAGCCCCTTTGTGTCCCACAGAGGCTTACTCTCACAGACTGGACCTCCTGATTCCTACGAGGGTGTGGTGCGCTCTGCTGGGCTCTACATTAGCTCTGAGCTCACTGAGAGTAGAGCTATTGTTATTTTCCTGGTAGATGAGAGCAGGACTAGTGGATGACAAAATGATGTGACTTTAAGAGAAAGGAAGGAAGATGTTGCTACAATGTTTCCTCCTGTAGAATTATTCTTTACATCTGCTCCCTACCACCGCTACCCACCAAAACCACACAAATGCTATGTCTTCTCCTGAGCATAGAAATCTTAATGGGTGATTGGTAGATGAGGGCACTGAAATGGAAATATATATTAAGATTTGAAATTTAAAGGGCTGGCTAAATGCAAGGGAAGACATAGAGCTGAACTTTGGAGCTTGATAATATTATCCTTTATACTTCTGGGATGGCTAATAGTGATGCTTTGAGTATGGGATTTCTGGAATTGCAGGTGGTGGGTTCCAAACCTCCCTTCTTTCTTGATCAAATGTTCTTGTGTGAGAAGAGATTTACAGTATTGCTGTATTTTCCATAGGGTTTTTGACCTAACAGGTATCTTGTTTTACTTGCCATCTTCTAATTGTGCTTGGAGGAACTGCTAAATTTTTCCAAGGAAAGTACTGAGTTTACTTGAATTAAAGCTTCAGCTGGTCTCCGACACTGTCACACTCATCTCCCAGGCCCCCTTTTCTCCTCCCATCTCCTCTAGTGAATGGGGTATAATCATAACTCACCTGCTGAGCTAAGTACCTTAGCCACTGACCCTCTTATCTAGGACACTGGGTAGTAGTGGTGTGGACATCCCCACTGGACCTTTCCCTCTGTCCTTGGATTTGTGGTAATGATGGCAATAGTGGTAAGACTAATCTCATCACCATCTGGAACTAGAGGCACAGGACACTTGAAGACATTTGAGAAGAAGGTAGGATATAAATACAACTAAATGAAGAAACAAATACTCTTGAGGCATGAGGCGGTATGGAGCCAAGGTCAAAGTATAATCCAAGGGTAAGAAAACTATTGAATTTAGATAAAACTGGCACAGTACTACCAAGTATCATCTCAGCTTCTTCATTCGCAGTCATGTGAAGCCACTTAAGAAAGCAAAGTAAGTCTTTTCAGAAGTATTTAAAGAAGGAATATTTTTTCCCTTATGAGTGACAAGGCTGTAAACAGCATTGTTGGATTGTTACACAGAATAAGGTTCTTAATATATGCACCAGGACAGATGGCCTGCAGATACTCAGTCCTTTTAATTGATTTTGTAAAGTGATTGCTTTTATGAAGGGTGCTGTTTTTAAAAAAATTCTTATGTTTGCCATTTTCATCAGAACAATAGTCGGTTTTATAGAATTCATTCTCTTTAACATACTCAAACAGGCAAATCTACTTGAATTCTGGAGATCTTGAACAGATGTGGCAAATATGTGAGGTGTGGGGTACACAGATTGCCTGATTGTGGAATAGAATTATACAGAATGCTGCAGAGAGTAATTAGAGTGTAAAGAACTCATTCCATCATTATTTAAAAGCTGGAGAAGGATGATAGTATAAACTTATCTTTCTGGCTCTTGCTTACTAAGCTCATACAGGTATTTCTGAGCTTCACACATGCTTGTTCATGAAGAGTTACATGTGATATCTACCTCTTTTTCCCTCTCTTTCACTGTTCCATCTCTGCTGGGTTCTACTGACACAGCCTAGGGAACTATTATCACAGCGAACACTTGAGCTGCTGAGAACACTGCCCCTGTAGCCCAGGTTACTGCCAGTGCTGCATGGAGCCCTGGAGATGCCAAAGCTATGCCATACTTGGAGCTTCTCTGCCTTCCTGGGATACATTCTGTGAAGGTCTATCAGAGTGGTATTGTCATTTATTCTTGTGTCCTAGAGGATTTGGGGGAAAACAGATTTTTCTTCATTTTTTTGTTCATAGCCTCTTCCTTTCATGGGAGAGATAGTAGTCCAGATATGAGTGTCCAGAGGGGACTGAGGAGACAGAGCCAAGTAGTAAAGCTCCACCATTCCGAGAATTAGCCTTCCCTTCAGATGCTTGATCCCCCCACTTCCTGTGGGATGAATTCTATCCCAGGTGCTCCTCTGTCCCTTGTGCTAAGGGTTTGGTGGGTTTGGCTCCTTCATCTCAGCAGACATGTCCAGAAGGGTTCCAGTCTAACATCAAGTTGTATATCTGTCAAATATTATCTCCCTCCTATTTAAAGGGGGTTTCATTTACCAAATGATAATGCCTTTGAGGTCAGGAGCCTTTGTTTAGTTTCTTTCATCATACCTGATATGATTCTGCTGCTTCCAGATTCACAAGAGGCCATTGGGTAGTTGGCGATGGGCCTCTGTTCATAGAGGTGAAGATAAGTAGATCATGGTGCAGATAGAAGCAAGACACATTCAGTTAAAAACTTAGAACCTGAATGAATATTTTTGTTCCCTTGCTTCCATGACTCCTCTTTTCTCTCATTCTACATCCAACGTTGAAGGACATGTCAGTGCTACCAAAGCATATCCAGACTTTGACAACTTGTGCCATTCTCATTGCGACCATTATGGTCCAAGCCATCATCATCTTTTGCTTGAATTACTGCAATAACCTCTTAAATCAATTCTTGACCCTCCTCACCACCTATTCTTAAGGCAAAGTGATCCTTTAAAAATGTAAGCCAAGTAATGTCACTATTTACCTTACACACTCCATACCTTAAAATGGCTTCCATTTTTCTGTAACAAAGTCCTTACAATGGCCTTCAAAATCTCACATTCTGTTATTGGGACTGAGTTCTTTACAATGGAATAACAAACAATAATGACAGAATTTTTAAACAGGGAGTTCTCTAGAGATAATAAAAACATTCTGTATTTAATGAATGTAGGGTAATGGAAAAATAAATCAAAACAAAATATGGGTTAAGAGTTCTAGATCAGCCACGAAGTAATCATGTGTTCTTGTTTAAGTCACTTTTGTCTCTACTTTTTTCCTACAAAAATTAACAACTTGGCTCCAGATCATCTTTCAATATTTCCAGTCTGACAATTTATAGTATATTAACACCGTAAGACTAAACTATGATCAATAGGAATGCATTGATAGATTCATTTTTTTCTAAAGTTATTCATGAATTTAGATTAATCAATTTAGATTTTCTCACTAGTCACATTGTTAATTTTCACCAGGAAAATTAATTGAATACAGCTGGTCAATATTTGTCTCTTAAAATACGGTCATAGAATGTAACCAGTAGACCTGTAGGAAAATCAAACCTTCGGTTTTAAACACATTGACTTAGTTGACTATGTCAAGTTAAGTTAACTAATCACAGTTACGTTTATTATCATGCAAAAGAATCATTCCTTCTTGACTCAATGAAATTGTCTTTCTTGAGATGCTTCTCAAAATTGTACCCACCATATCTATAATTATAATTTTAATGATGATGGTGATGACAATAATGATGATAATTGTATTGTTTAGGACTTACCATATACGAGGTAATGTTCTAAACACTGTATATGTTAATTCATTTAATTATCTTAACAATATGATGAGATGGATACTAATATTATTCCTGTATTGATGTATAGAGAAGTAAAGAACTTATCAAAAAGTGCTGTAATGTCAGAGCTGGGATTTGAACTGAGGCAACTGGGCTTCAGAATCCACACTTGCAATCACTAAGTCCTATCTGTGTCAAGCTATGATTGTTTTGTTTAAGAGATACTAGCACTACTCTTAGTTTCTTCTCAATTGGTTTCTCTTCTAGAGATTTATTTAATTTTTTAGATTCACTTTCTTTGGAAAAATCAATTAAAGTATCTCCATGAGAAAATTTTACATTTATAGTTATTGTTTATTTCTTTGAATTATGTTTAATTCTATTCTCGTATTTAGGATTTTATATGATTATTCAGCAAGGGGATATTCTTTTCAAGCTCATTGCTTTTCATCTTAACATCTTGACTCCACAATAATCATCTTCTATTTGTACACCTGTCGGTATCAATGGAGCTATATTTATATAGAAGCCAATTTGGAATAAGTCATCAGTACTTGTCTGAAATCTTCAGTTATAATTATTAAAATCCTAATAGCTAATGGATAGATTTATTTAATTTTTGTATTCCTTTCATTGAAGAAAGTGAAAATGAGTATAGTTTATGTATAGGAACACGTAACAAAAGCTACAATTTATCAAGAGTTTGGTATGTACTAGGTTACCTATATATGATGTTTCTGTCCTAACAATAACCCTGAAAGGGTGATTGGAAAGGTAAAGAAGTTAAGCAATTACTACAAATTCCTAAATTTAGTAACTGATGGAGACAAGATCCAAACTTACTACTATACCATAATATCATACAGATATGTAAATATCTAACTGTAACCTCCTCAATGACAGGAACCAAGTTTCATATACTTGTTTGTTTGTTTTTTTCCATCATGCATAGTACAGTTTTGATGTAAATAGTCAATAACTATCTCAGAAAGCTGGAAGCTTCATTGTGTGGTTCTTGATTTCCCTTTGAAGTTCCAGGATGAGTACGTTTTGCCTGGTGTGGTGAGGGCTGATGTTCTTCAGTTAGTGTCTGCCTCTAGAGTATGTTTGTAAACTGGAACTAATATTGCCTACCTTTCAGGTTGTTTTGTTTATCTTATCATAAAATGTCTGCTTGCCTGTTAAACCCCATAACTGAGTGTCAGTGGTAGATCCCTTATAGGGACCTCTTATCCCCTAAAAAGGCTGTTTTAAGAGTGAGTGAGAGCTTTCTTTTTAGCCCTATGCCTAGTGTTGGCATTATCTTGGACTTCCGCCCTGGTTTCCTCATCTTAGGAAGGCCTTATATTCTTAGAAGGTTTCCATTCTACCATGTTGTGGGAGTCTTTGATTAGATGTACTAGGTATACCATATTTAATCGCACCTTTCCTAGCC